TTATATGCCGGAAACCGGGTCCGGCGTCCCTTACATATGAACCGCAGCCATCCAGGGCTGGGAAAAGCACTCCCGACCAATCCCATCCCCGACTGCAGCCAAATTCCGTCAAAGGTTACTCAGACCCTAGCCACTACTAAACAGCCCTGAGCCGGAAAAATTCGAATCTATAACTTCTAGACACAATTATAAACAAAATTCCATCAAGAGTTGCTCAAAACCTAATCATTACTAGGTGGCCAATCGATCAAAGGTTGTTGTTGCTCAAACCGTAACCACTACTGAACAGCCCTAAGAAACAAGAACCACCCGAAAAAAAATTTGAATCTATTTCTACTGAACTCAGCAAGCGGGAAAATCCGTGACAGTTGGTCACACGGTAATTACTTATCATCAGAAGTTGCTCAAACCCTAATGACTACTAAATGGCTAATGATCCATCAAAGGTTGCTCAAACCTTAACTACTACTAAACAGCCCTAAAAAACCGTTCTTTGCACTTCTTTCTTCCATTAAAATTACCCCCCTCCCTTCCCCCCCCTCTCTTTAACTAATCAAATAATTGTTCTGTTTTTTGTCAATTGTTGAATATGCTTGCAGGGCCATCTGGCAGTACTGGACACTGCTGGCTCCTCGTTGGTGGTTGGGTCCCCAGTGCTTTTCAGCACAACGAAGACGCTCAGCCTTTCCCTCTCTTCACTGTCTCCTACTTCACTTCTCCTTGCTTTCTACACTAAGTAAGTCTTTCTTAGTCTCGTGCTTAAAAAAAAGAAAAAGAAAAAAGAGAAGAAGAAGAAGAAGAAGAAGTAAGCCCTTTCTTCAGGCTCACAGATAGGACAAAAAAAGCCTTCTTGGCAGTCTTGCCCATACTTGTCTTTGTATTACCCATGTCCCCCCGCACACCCTCTTCCTGCTCTTTTTTCTTTTTTTTTTTTTCCTTAACCACTGCCTCTGGTCTTCAACCGAACAGAACGCTGCTCATTATAGCGGTATTTGGCACAACTTTCTGTCCAGATGCAGCGATGATGGCCAGGCGTTCTATTTGGGTGAAGACCGTAGTACATTTCCCAGCAATTTTTCGAAAGTCTCGTCTTGCATGCTCCTGCAACTTTTTTTTTTTTTTTTTTTTTGAAGGAGTCCATTACATTCATTCCACAAAATAGATGAACTCTGCAGTTAGAAGAGGGGAACATCTTACCCCTCCTATGATTAGAGCGGAAGTCAAGTTCAATATCAAACAAGCCAGTGCGGTTGGGTACACCGGGTCGCGGGATCTCCGTGCTGGGGTGGGGTGAAGTGCTTAGGTTTGAGTCCTGGGGCTTCACTTTCACCCCAGCCCACTTAGCCTTATGGTTAGGTGTTAGCCTGCCAAGCCGTTGGACGTGTGTTCTCGTATTCGTCACATTTCCACAGATTGGACACATAAAGTTCTGAACAAAGGGTACAGAACTAAACCAATGAATAAGTTCTGTTCACATTGGACACAGTTCTCAGGTTTGGTGAACATTACTGTAGGCAACGACCATTTCGTCAAAATGGACATTTTTTATTTTTTGAACGAAATTGAAACTGAGTTTTTTGGCCAAAAACTTGTCAAAATCTGTTGTTCCTGAGGGGTCCGGCGTTTGTAAAACGCTGGACCCCCTGGCTGTACATGGACCTAGCTTGAGACCAGGTACCTCCAGGCAGGACTGCCTGGAGGTACCTGGTCTCAAGCAGGACTGCCTGGAGGTACCTGGTCTCAAGCTAGGTCCATGTACAGCCAGGGGGACCAACGTTTTACAAACGCCGGACCCTCAGGAACAACAAATTTTGACGAGTTTTTGGCCAAAAAACTTGGGTGTCAATTTCGTTCAAAAAATAAAAGATGTCCATTTTGATGAAATGGCAGTTAGGAGTTCATGGAACACCTGAGCTCACCTTTTCGTCTTTCTTATTGTGAAGCTGCGGTGAGGTACTTCTATACAGAAGATTACAGTGTAATATAGAAAGAAATGGTGTTGTTTTCGATGGTGCTGTAAAGAGCATTGTATGTGAGACGATCACTGCTCGGAAGCCAGACTGGCAGGACAATCGTACCCTTCTTTCTGTGCACCATGCACTCAGTACAGGCCAGCAGGACGAGGTTATAGGTTATATTAGGCTGTCTAGTCTTCGCCTGAGTATTGGTTTGAAGGGCTGGGTTTGGTTTCGTTTCTGCAGCCTGGATCTGCAGCCGGCCGGAGTAGCTGGGTGCAAGCCTGGGGCTGTGAAAGTTTGTGAAGGACATCCGCCATGTACTCAGTACAGTCCTAGCTTTTTTTTTTTTTTTTTTTTTTTTTTTTGAGAGAAACAACCCGAACTAGCGCTAGGGGTGCTGATAAGAGCAGACACCACTAGCGCCGTCGGGCGGGCTCCATCTGTTGGTGGGGAGCAGCACCTGCTGGAAAACGGGTCCAGCGTCCCTGTACATGGTAATCATTTGATTAGGCAGTCGAAAATTTGTGATGTGTATGAGCTTAATCCGTTGCGCAGTGATGAGCAGCATTGATTGCCCTCCTAAGAGGGGATTAACTGCTCATTCACACCGTGTCCATGCTGGAAAACGAGTCCTGCTTCCCTTGTCGTCTAATCAACAGAGCTTCCAAAACAAACGACCCAATCAGACAAAACCCAAGGACGCTGTAACGCAGATTGCAACAACATGATTTGTATCGGCTGAGACACCGTGTTGTATCATTATGTCCCCCAACCCAAGACTGTGTACATGCATCGATTCTGTATCTTCCGACGTGTAAAGACAAAACCCTAAGTGAGAAACTTCGCCAGCCAAAAGTGTGACCCTGGCAGGGGCATTGATTACTTCCCTCTGCAGGGAAGGAACCGATTACTTCCCTGCGTAGGGAGGGATCGACTTCCCACTAAAAAATTCCTAACAAGCCCGCCACAATCCCTCGATATCGCAGGCCGGGCAACATCGAACACCTCCAGCTATCCCACCCCTACCCTCTGCCGAATCACACGGACGAGTTCCGTATCTAAGTTGGGGGGGGGGGCAGTCGACAACCACATCACCTTATCAAGCCCGTATCCCACCCCATCCGCTTTCAGCATCAAACCTGTGACGCTAATGATAATCTCCGATGCATGGATACCATCTCCCACCCCGCTACTTCCTTGGTCATCGACCCCTTCATCGTCGTTATTGTTGTTGTTGTTGCTGTCGTTATTGTTGTCGTTATTGTTGTCGTTGTCACTGTTGTTCTTGTTGTCGTTGTCGCTGTTGCTGTTTTTGTAGCCGTCGATGATGTTGTTGTCAATGTTGTTGTTGATGACATCGTCAACAGCATCGTTGTTGCAGTCAACCACGCAGTTCCCACAGTCAGCATCCCCGTTGTTATTGTTGTTGTTCGTATTGTCTTTATTATTGTTGTCGTTATTGACCTCGAAGCTTCCCTTCACACCGTCGTCCTTGTCGTCGTTGTCGTCTATCACATCCCTCTCGCCACATCTCCGCCGCTCCTCCAGTCGATCGCGTGATGTTGTTGTCGAAATCGCCGTCGTTGTTGTCGCCGCTGCTTCTGATGTGGAGAGCAGCGTTATCACGTCGGATGCAAGCCGAGCTTCCAGCAGAATGCGCAAATCACGACCCTTAACAAAAAAAGCCTTACAGGTATTCATCACGTCATCCGCCCACCGCCAATCGATGTATGCGTCGAGCTGGGGATCCGGACCCTCCTCCAGCTCCCACATAACATCCAGGATGTCTTCGGCCGTGTCGTTCAACCAGCCCGCCAATAAGATCGCCCCCCCATCGATCCCTGGCTCTTCGTTTGACCGCACAGACAGTGCCTCAACAAGCTCCTGTAGCCGCCTGCATCCTTTCTCCAAGGTAGTCAGCCATTCTTCCGCTCCGCATTGCAGCTCCCCTTTGTTATCGTGTTGTAATGACCGGAGCTCCCCTTTGTTATCGTGTTGTAATGACCCCGCCGAGTCCATCGCGTCGCTAATCAAAGTAATCAACAGTTTAGCCAGCACATCCCCTATACACGCGTCGTCGTCCGTCCAACCAGCCACGCCTTCCACGACGCTCACTGCCACGTGTCGGGCGCGAGTGTAGGCCCTGCTTCCCAAGGGAGAGCGCCTCCCCAGGTAGCAGGTCGAGCCAGGTGCCACCAGACCTCGCTGGTTGGGCTAGCACAGGTTGCTGGCTTGATTACTTAGGATGAACATTTCCTGCAATCCAGATCTGATCAGAATCCAGCCGGAGTTCTAAGGGCGATGGCCTTGAGGTATTATCATCGGACTAACCAGCCTAGGTAAATTCAATGTTGTGTCTAATCTGACATCGGGTGGCCTTTTCATCCCTAGTTTTGCTCCAGTATTGCTTTGAAATCTTTAGTTTGGTTTTGTTTCTGCAGCCTGGACCTGCACCCGGCCGGAGTAGCTGGGCCTTGGACTGGGGCTGTGAAAATTTGTAAGGGACGCCGGGCCCGTTTCCCGGTATTTTGAAAATAATAAACAACATTGATAGTAAAAAAAAAAAAAAAAAAAAAAGATGAATTGATGCCGGGGACCTCACAATTCCATCCGGAGTTATCCCGGCAGCTTCAGCCGGTTTAGCTTACAGGTCTGAGCCTGCGAAAGATCTTGGCAATGTCATCTTTTCTGGTCCTGCCCAGCCTCACGACGTATCTGGCGGTGGTGGGAAAGACACTGGATCAGAAGACACTGGATCAGATTCGTAGGAAACCTCCTGCCATGGGACGAGACGTGGGCAATGCACGGTCGAATCCCAGAGACTTGGTTCAAACACAGGGGCAGAGGCTATGTTGCTCAAGCAATCCGCTCCATCCTCATTTGGACAATCTGGGAGGACCGGAACAATATCATCTTCAGGCAGCAGTGGACAAGCGACCCAGCACTCAATGACATCCAGAAAATTAATGCCTGGATCCGGACTATGATTCACGTGGACTGGATTAGAAAAGCGGCAAGGAGGGGAACCACCAGAGGCCGACATTGGTTCTTCGTTACCGGCGCCAGAGAACCAGCTCGCAGCAGTCACCCATGAGGGACGTCTGGCCATCTCTCCCACTGGCTCACTTCCTAAATCACACGACTCTACCTCTCCAGCTTGTCTCCCACTGAGCACGCGCACCCTTTCCTGTTCCCTAACCTCTCCCTCTAGCCCATATCTGCGCACCCTTTCCTGTTCCCTAACCTCTCCCTCTAGCCCATATCTCCCCCTCCTCCCTCCGCTCCCCCCACCCCTTCTTCCATAATAAGTCCTTCTCTACAACCAGGACACTCGGTTGTCCCATTGTCAGCCACAGGAGGCAATGAGCGGAGGTGGGTGGAGAGTGTCATTTCTTTGAGACCTCATTGGTCCAATGGGCTGGTTTTGGGCCGATGTCAGGCCGGTACTTGTTAGGCCTGTTTGTTAGCTAGGTATTCCTCAGGCTGCTAGATTAGACAGGGAAGGTCTTTAATCTAGACTCACAGGCTACAATAGAGCTGGGATTTTATCTCCTCTATGCACAAGTTTTTTTTTGTTTTTTTTTTTTAATTGGGCCCAGTGCCCAAGGCTTATATTTGCACAAGTTTTATCGGACAGACTATTACAGGAGTTACAGTTGGATTTGGGAAAAGGCAGTGACTTTGGATCTTTCGCAGGCTCAGACCTGTAAGCTAAACCGGCCTCCTGCAACTTTCAGGGCTCGTCCACTGGAGCAAGATGCTGGTGGCGCCAGCCAAAAGGAGGCCCCGACCGATTTGTTTTCTTTGGGGCGTGCAGCGCGTTTCCAGCCCCCGAGAAGAGAGCCTTGGAAGTACCACCTGGTCTAGTACTTGGCCCATACATAAGCTACAGGCCCTCGTTGTATAATATGCGGCGGTCGGCCTCCGAAGCAAAATGGTGGCTGCACCAGCCAAAAGGCGGCCGCGCCAGCTCTTTTTTTTTTGTTTGGCATGCAGGGCATTTCGAGGGTCGGAATATTGTGTACCCCTGGTTTAATAAATTTAAAGGGGTAACTAGGGCGCAGTCACTAAAGCAGTTTGTAGTTTGTAAATAATTTTCAAACTGCCTTTTTGGAGTCCAGTACCGTCCCAAGTTTCAACTGCAGTCGAAACACTTCACACGCATAAAAGTCGCAAGGCCGAGTTTGCAACTGCAGTCCAGTCCGGCATGTGGACCATGACCGAGGCATTGCGGCCGTGGCCCAGCGACGAGATGCGAGAATCTCTTTTTTTTTTTTTTTTTTTTTTTACCTCGGATGTGGCCGTGGCCAGCCACGTGAGGGGGTCCAGATATTAAAAAAAAAAGAAAAAAAAAAAAGAAAAAAGAAAAAGAAAAGAAAAGAAAAGAAAAGAAACAGAGGGCCTTGCTCCACTATTCTTGGCATGCACAAAAAACACAAAGCATGGCGCTGTATCTTTCCATGTTCTAGAGGAAGATTCACTCCTTTTTTTTTTTTTTTTTTTTTCGAGAAATGAAGATTCACTCTCGTTTTGCACATTTCGAGAGTAGTGGAGCCAGGCAAAAAGAGATTGAATATTCCGCTAGAACAAAGATGCACCGCCACGAGGCCCCAAGGATGACACGCCCCAAGGATGACACGCATAGGTCGGGAAATCTGAGAAGGGAAAAAAAAGAGAAAAAAAAAAAAGAAAAGAAACTGGGTTGTTGTCAGCACGTGTCTCCCGGACTCTCCCCTAGGGCCTCTGCATTGTTGTCAGCCCGTGTATCCCGCTGGGCCCCTGTATTCCCATTGCACAGAAGACAAAAATCATGGAGCTGTATCTTTCCATGTTCTAAGCCAAGATTCACTCTCATTTTGCACATTTGGAGATCAATCGTGGAAATGGAGAGTGAATCTTTCTGTAGAACATGGAAAGATACAGCGCCACGATCTTTTTTTTTTTCCTTCTTGTTTCTTCTTTTCTTTTTTGGAAAACGGCCTGGGCCTCCGACGTGGATGACTACACTGCAGTTACAAACTCTGCCCTGCGATAGCCACGCCACGGCGGAGTTTGGCCTGCAGTGTAAGCTTCAGAGGGGACTGGACTCCAAAACTGCAGTTTGAAATGTATTTTCAAACTCTAACCCTGACCGCGCCCTAGTTTTCTCTTAATAAAAACATCACATTCAATTTCAATTTGCTGGTCCTGTATCCCAGTGGTGGTGAGTGAACCACCAGGATTGACATCTCTGGTCTCTTGGTGGGGAGCAGCACCTGCCCCCTGCTGGAACCAGCTCCAGCTTCCCTACACACCCTGAGGCTCGTCTTTTCACCAATTCCAGGCATGGGTATGTTAACTTTGTGGCGTAGCACCTGACTAGAACACTGCCTGGCAGTGCCTTCTAGAATTCCCAATGTCACTTCAGAGAATGGTGAGGCCTTCGTCATGCACGGGCTCGTATACCTACAGTGAAGAAGGTCCATCCCACATGATGCTGTTATGTGACCAATTGAAACAGCATCCAACAAAGCACCCACATGCTCCCATACAGATGTGCAATGACAAAGGAGACGACATGGAGAAGAGAATCCACACCAAACCAGTCTGAGACTGAAGATGCACACTGTCAGACAGTCTCAGTGGAAGCACAAAAACTCAGTTCCGTGCTGGAAACCGGCCCATAACCGGGTTCAGTGTCCCTTCCCTTGGATTCATTATCTGAGGGACTATGGCCATTTCAGTCCCATGCCTGGAGCACAACAACAACAAAAAAAAGAAAACCAACAATGACCAGAATAACCACAGCACAACCACAACAACTTGACTAGAGAGGGGTGTGAAGAACTGTTTTCTGAAAGCGCGTGATTTTCTGCGCGACGATACTTCGGGGGTTGATTAAGAGGGGCCCGCCCAATTACATGAATGCCCTCGTCTTTCAGAAAAAGGGCGGTCCCACGACGGTTGGTAGTTGATCGCGCCTTAGCGAGCGCGGAAAATAACTGTTGCCATAGCTTCTTTCTTGTTCTGCTGTGAGGAATGGGGAACTTTGGCATGGTCATCGCGGGGGGAATCTTTTTTTCGAATCTTTTTGAATTTTCAACCGAAGTCGCTCTCGGAACTTCTTTTTGCAATTAGGATTTAAAGTAGGCTAGGAATTTGGGTGCATCCTAATTTTGTCTGCAACTGCACGGTGCTTCTTACTTGCGCGCGCCCTGCCGCGTCAGGGTCTGTGCTCTGGCTTCTCCGCGCCTTAATCTCATGTGTAACTGTAATTCTCTTCTTGGCAAACGCAAACGTAACTGTGATCTCCTCCTTCTTGATATCGTCGTCGTGCCCTTGAGCGAGCATATTTCCCTCAATCGTATTGGCCTGAACGATGCATGACTGGATCGATGCGAGGAGAGTGGCTACTTACCCCACGCCCCGGCCCGGCCATGCAATCGTAGGCACTTCCTTCTTGCTCCTTCTCTCCCACTCATGCACGATCCCAACTACTTCGCGTGGACGGTCATGCTATAAATTTTGCAAGCGTGATTAAAACTCGCTCTCTAATCAACTTTGGAGTTAGCGCGGTTGAAAGGATCGGCTAACAGGCAGAAGCAAGATGGTGAGTAGGGAGTTGGGCGATCCGACGAGCTGGTGCTGGGTATGCGGGGTTGACGTGTGGCCTCGAAGGACTGTGAAACACGGGCGAATTTGACTTACATGTTCAGACTAAGCGGGGTTACAACTATGTGTAAGTAGAAGGTGCAAGGCGACGGTCTGCCCGCATCGGGGTGGAGAGAGAGAGAGAGAGAGAGAGAGAGAGAGAGAGAGAGAGAGAGAGAGAGAGAGAGAGAGAGAGAGAGAGAGAGA